CAAGCTCTACCACTGAGCCACCTTCCCAGCCCCTGGAGCCACACTTCATTTCAGGCTTTTTTTCTATGATTAATTGGAGGCGCAAGTTGCATGGACTTTTCCTGCACAGGAAGGCTGGCTTTGAACCGGGATCCTCAGATCTCAGCCTCCTGAGTAGTTAGGATGACAGGCGGGCTCAGTCCAAACTCCATTTGTTAGGTCCTTCCAAGCCCTAGTTCAAATGACAGCCTTCCTCCTCTCCCCCTCCTCCTCCCCTTCTTCCCCTCCCCTCCCCCTCTCCCCAGATGACTTCACTTGCTTTTCCTACCTGGAGCCCAGCTGCCCTCCTCCTCCTCCTCCCCCCCCCCTCCTCCTCTCTCTCACCTCCTCCTCCCTCCCCTCCTCCTTCCCCTCTTCCTCCTCTCCTCTTCCTCCTCCTCCTCCTCCCCTCTTCCTCCTCCTCTCCCCCTCTCCTCCTCCCCCCTCTCCTCCTCCCCCCTCTTTCCTCTCTCTCACCTCCTCCTCCCTCCCCTCCTCCTTCCCCTCTTCCTCCTCTCCTCTTCCTCCTCCTCCTCCTCCCCCCTCCTCCTCTTCCTCTCCCCTCCTCTTCCTCTCCCCTCCTCTTCCTCTCCCCTCCCCTCCTCCTCCTCCCCTCCTCCTCCTCCCCCTCCCCTCCTCCTCCTCCCCCTCCCCTCCTCCTCCTCCCCCCTCCCCTCCTCCTCCTCCCCCTCCCCTCCTCCTCCCCTCCTCCTCTCCCCTCCCCTCCTTCCCCCTCTTCCTCCTCCCCCCCTCCCCTCCTCCTCCTCCCTCTCACCTCCTCCTCCTCTCTCCTCCTCCTCCCCCCTTCCCCTCTTCCTCCTCTTCTCTTCCCCCTCCTCCTCCCCCCCTCCCTTCTTCCTTCTCTCTCCCTCCCCTCCTCCTCCTCTTCCTCTCCTCCTCCTACCCCCTCCCTTCCTCCTTCCTCTCCCCTCCCCTCCTCCTCCTCCCCTCCTCTCCTCCTCCTCCCCTCCTCCTCCTCCCCCCCCTCCTCCTCCTCCCCCCTCCTCCTCCTCCTCCCCTCCTCTCCCCCCCCTCCCTCCTTCTCCTCCTCCCCCTCCCCTCCTCCCCCCTCCCCCCCTCCTCCTCCCCCTCCCCTCCTCCTCCCCCTCCCCCCTCCCCCTCCTCCTCCCCCTCCCCTCCTCCTCCTCCTCCCCCTCCCCCCCTCCCTCCTCCTCCCCCTCCCCTCCTCCTCCTCCCCCTCCCCTCCTCCTCCGTGCCAGCTGCTCCCCGACTCCTGGCACCCGTGGGTGGCTTCAGCTCTGCCCTGCTCCGCCACAGCCCTGTCCTGACCCAGTGGCCTGGGTGCTTTCTGACCCCATGAACTCGCTTTGACCTTTGCCCTGTCCACCTGCCCTCTCCCCTCACTGGCGTGCACCTGGCCCTGAGTAGGCCAGAAAGATGGGAAACCCCGGATTCCTTCGGAGAAAGAAAGGGGGTGGGAGCGAGGAGGGGCTGCGCTCCGCTCCAGCCGCCGGGTCTGGGGGGTCCCCCGGGCCGGGGTCCCCCCGCGCCCCCCGGGCTGCACCTGCTCAGGCCGGGCCAGCTGAGGGGTGCGGACCAAAATGGTGCCGGGGGGGGGGCTGGGGGGGGGGCCGGGGAGCGAGGCCCCTGCGGTGCGCCCCGCGCCCCCCGCCGGCCTCTCCCGGGGCCGAGCTCCCGCGCCCGCGGGGCCCGCGGGGCCGCCCGACGCCCGGCCCGGGTCGGCGCGCGCGGGGCCCGGCGACCCCCCGGCGCGGCGGGGGGGGCCGTGGCGCCCGCGGACCCGGGGGAGCGCAGGCTCGGCCCCGGCCCGCGCCGCCCCGCCCCCGCCCCGCCCCGCGCCGCCCCGCCCGGGACCGCAGACGGCGCCCGGCGGCGGCGCGAGCGGCAGCGCGGAGGGCGCGCGCGGCCCGGGCGGGACCAGAACCCGCGGCGCGGAGGATGCGGCGGGCCCCGCGGGGCCGCAGGGTAGGGCGGGCGGCGCGGCGGGCGCGGGAAGTTGGGCCGAGTTCGCGGGCTGCGCGCAGGGCGCCCCTGCCGGCGGGCGCGGGCGGAGCGCGGGGCCCGGGGCTTCCGGCGGCCGCGGGGGCCCCGGCGCGGCCCCGTCCCCACTTCCTTCCCCGCGCTCGGCGGGGCTCCGGGGGCGCCGCGGGGCCGGGGCGCGGGGCGGGGGGCCCGGCCGGGCGCGCACGTGCGGGCGGCTGCGCGTCAGCCCGCGGGGTGCACGTGCGCCCCTGCGCCGCCGGGACGCGGGGCGGGCGCCGGGGGGCGCGGGGGCGGGCGCGGGGCGCGGGTGGGGGGCGCGGGGCGGGCGCCGGGGGGCGGCGGGGACCCGAGGGGGAGGCCGCCCGCGCCCCGCGCCCCCCGCCCCCCGCCCGCGCCCCCCCGCCCCCGCGCCCCGCGCCCCCCGAGCCGTCCGGCTGCGGCCTCCCGCCCGGCTGGGCGTCTCCTCCCCGGGGGAGGCCGGGCCCCAGCCGCCCTGCCCGGGGGGGCACCGGGGCTCTGCTGGACCCAGCCCTGCGTCCTGCCCGCCCGAGGCGGCCGAGGCTCCTGCCAGGCCGGGCCCGCGCAGGGGCGCACCCCCCCCCCAGGGCTCGTGTCTGGGAAGGGAGCCCCCCCATGGTGTCTGCGCCCCCCCCCCCCGTCTCCCAGGCCTTCAGACCCCTCTGTGGGATCCCTGGGGTCCCCCCTTTCCCCCCCTCCAGAGCTTCCTGAGGGTCCCCCGTGGCCTCCTGTCTATTGTCTGGGTCCGGAGGGGGCTCTGGAAGTCTCCAGAGCTAAGGGCGCGGGGTTGGGCCCGGCCCTGGGGAGCAGGGTTCTTGGGGTGGGGGGCACTGGGGGGAAGCGGGACCAGAGCCAAGGCTTAATTAACCCGCAGCTCCCCCAGGGCAGAGGTGGGGGGCTCGGCACCCTCCAGACGGTACAGGGACCCCTTCTTGTGTCACGGCTGTGCAGCGGGGGGTGGGGGGGGTGGGGTGGGGGGGGAGGGGGGGCAGGTCCTCCTGGTCACCCTGCCACTGCTAGCGTCCGGGGTCTGGTGTCCAGTCTTCTCTGGGCCTGCGCTGGCCTTGTTGCTGTCCGATCGAGGGTAGACCCTTCCGCTCATTCCACCCCCCACCCCCATAATTGTCTTTTTGTGTGTTTGTGCTGGTGGTGGGGTTTGAACTTAGGGCCTGCATGCTGTCCCTTAGCTTTTGTTGTTGTTGGCTTACTGGAGATAAAGACTCTCACAGACTTCAGATAAGAGTCTCCCGGACTTTCCTGGCCGGGGCTGGCTTTGAACTTCTGATCCTCAGCTCTCTCCGCCTCCTGTATGGCATCGGAGGCCCTGTGCCAGCCACCTACCCCTGGCTTAGTCTTGCCTTGACTTGTCCCTTTGCTGTTCTGACTCTGAGCCCCTGGCTGTCATCGGCGTCCCCCCTCCCCCTCCAGGAGAGGGAGCAGTTCTTGTTTGTTGGTGACAGAAGCCTGTGACACTTGGCCTGTGGCCTGATTGCCGCAAGTTTGAGCTGATTCACCATTTCTGAGCCGGTGTTAGAAGGAACTGGGTGCTGGCTTGGAGAGGGGCGGGTCAGCCTGGCCTCAGATGGAGGGCCCTTGGTGACTCATCGAGAAACCCCATCCTTAACCTCTGACCCCTCTGGGTGTCGGGTCTTGGTTCTTTCTTGGCCTTGCCTTTCCATCAGTGGAAGTAACGTGCATACGGTGGAAGTAGCTGCCAGCTAGCACTCTGGACCTCTCGCAATAGCAGTTTGAAGGGCTTGGGGATGGACGCTGCCTCTCCACCCTCCTCCTCCCGTGGTCTGGGACCTTCCTCCTGGCATAACAGCACCATCTGGCGGACAGCCTTGACCCTGCGGGTGGGGGCGGGGCTTGGTAGACAGAGCCCCAGCGGTGGCTCCCAGGGGACTGCCCTCCCCTGGCTAGGCCCGGTTTTATCAGTGCTGGCTCTGGGTCTCTGGACCTGCATGTGAAGTCCTGTTCTGCTATTTTTCATAGGACCAGCGGGGTCAAGGGAGTGTCAGGAGAAATCTGAGTTTGTAGATAATGTCCAGATTCTGTGTCTGGGTTGCAAGGGGTTGGGGGGGGACAGGACATGACCTCAACCTGTGAAGATGACATCCCAGGAATCAACCAGATGCCTGCTTCTGGTCACATCTCTTCCATCACCAGTGTCTTGGTGTTCCACACCACTCATCTTGGTGTGGGGGACCTGTGGAGGGCCGGGAATTAATACAACATTCTGTGGCTTGGGGCTGGGTAGGTGGCTCAGTGGTAGAGCGCATGCCTTGCATGCCAGAGGCCCTGGGTTCGATTCCTCAGCACCACATAAGCAGAAAAAAGCCGGAAGTGGTGCTGTGGCTCAAGTGGTAGAGCGCTAGCCTTGAGCTGAAGAGCTGAGGGACAGCGCCCAGGCCCAGAGTTCAGGCCCCACGACTGACCCCAAAAAAAAAAACAGAAGCCGGGCTGGGCACCTGTGGCTCACACCTGTAATCCAACCTGATACTCAGGAGGCTGAGATCTGAGGATCGCAGTTTGAAGCCAGCCGGGGTAGAAAAGTCCCCATAAGACTCATTTCCAATGAGCTATTCAAGAACTGGAAATGGTGCTGTGGCTCAAGAGGCTTGGGGGATATCACCCAGGCCCTGAGTTCAAGCCCCACCATCAACAAAACAAAACAAGCTGGGCACTGGTGGCTCATACTTGGCATCCTAGCTAGATCTCAGGAGGCTGAGGTCTTAGGATCAGAGTTCAGTTGAAGCCAGCCTGGAGAGGAATGTCTTTGAGAATCTTTATCTTCGTTTAACTACCCCAAAAAAGCAGAAAGTGGAGGATGTGTGCTTCAAGCAGTAGAGCGGTCTTGGGGGGGGGGGGGAAGAAAGCTAAGGGACAGCACCCAGACACTGAGTTCAAGCCCCAGTACTGGCACACACATGCACACAAAACAGCCGTATGTGCAGGTGGCTCATGCATCCAGAAGATGCAAGATGCATCCAGAGTGTCTGGTTTTCAGGGGCACCGTGTGGCGGAATGCAGCCCATGCTACTGAGCGCCCAGCTTTTCTCTCTCTCTCCCCTAGGTCAGCAGTGGAGTAGAAAAGTCCCGGGAGAGTCTAACGCCTTAACCACCATGGCAGAGAAGCGGCCCCTGGGGACCCTGGGGCCGGTGATCTATGGCAAACTGCCCCCGCCTGGAGCCTGACACCGGACCCAGACACAGCTTACCTCTCTCCGTGGGCAGCCAAGACCCGTGCAGCTACAAGGGTGCCTACTTTTCCTGCCCCATGGGGGGCCCCCCCAAGGCTGAACAGTTAGCATCTTGGACCCCATACCCACCCTTGTACCCTGCCAGCGTGGCCGCATCTCCGCTCCGGACGGATAATCTGTTAACCAACTGCCTGCTCTACCGCCCGCCCCCGGAAGGTTCTGAGAAGGTGCCAGCCTCCGCCGAACTCCTGCCCTTCGCCCCCCAGGCTCACATGTACCCAGCACCTCCACTGGCGGCCCCCAAACCCGTCTACCGCAGCCCACTGTGCTACGGGCTCCCCACGTGCCTGGGGGAGGGGCCGGCCAAGAGGCCCCTGGATGGGGATTGGGCCTCGGTGACTAGTCCCCTGCTGCCCCCCGCAGACCCGCCCTGCCCTCTGACCCCGGCCGCTCCTGGCAAGGGGCAGTCTCTGGATGCCACCTTCCTGCGTGGAGTGCCCCCCGGGGCAGCTGGCAAAGACTCCTCCTCCGTGAACTTCTCTGCGTGCCAGGCGTTCCTGGAGAAGTATCGGACGCTACACGGCCCCAGTTTCCTGCCTTCCAAGTTCACGGGACCCCACTACGGGGACCCGAAGCCAGCCATGGCAGAGGGGCCTTCCAGTCCTTGGAGTCGACTGGCTCAGCCCCAGGAGTCTGTGCCCACTCACTACCCCGCTGCCCCCTCTCCCACAGACCCTGCCCTGCCCCCCCGCCTGCCGCCACCCGGAGAAACAAGACGGCTACAACTCGGTACTCTCCCTGCAGCCCCTCGGGGCGCACAAGGGGGCCGGGTACCCGGCCGGGGCTCTGGGTAGTCCCTACCTAAGGCAGCCGGCCGTCCAGGCCCCTTACATGCCCCCGATGGGGCTGGACACTTACTCCTACTCCTCGGCGCCTCTCCCGCCTCACTCGCCAGGCCTCAAGCTGGAGCCTCCCCTCGCCCCCCGGTGCCCGCTCGACTTTGCCCCTCCGACTCTCGGTTTTCCTTACGCCCGGGATGATCTGTCTCTCTACGGGGCATCCCCGGGGCTGGGGAGCACCCCACCTTCCCAGAACAGCATGCAGCCTGGAGCTCAGCCCAGCGCCTTTCCAAGGGCATGCCAGTCCCTGCCAGCCAGCCAGCCCTGCTCGGAGCCCGTGAAGCCGGCAGACAAGCCCGCGCGGGGCGCCGGCGACAAGGCCTGGGGGCCCGGCTGCGGGAAAGAGCAGTGCCAGCCGCAGCCCGGCGAGCCCCCTGTCCTTCCCATTGTCATCCCAGACAGCCCGGGACCCCCGCACCCCACCGGCACTGCGCCCCTGTGCCCGCGAGCTCCCGGCCCCCCCACAGAAGGAGGGGGTGAGGCCCCCCGGCTCTCCCCCTATGCCTGTGATCGACAACGTCTTCAGCCTGGCGCCCTACCGGGACTACCTGAACGCGCCCGTGCCCAAGGCGCCCCCGACCACCAGACAGAGCCCAGATGCAGACTCCGAGGGAGCCCCGCCTGCCCAGGACGGGCCCCCAGGGGCTCGCTGCCCCGGGCGACAAGAGGTGGCCTTGGACCTGAGCGTGAAGAAGCCCGTGGCAGAGGACGCTGCCCCCAGCAAGGCCCCGCCGCCGCCGCCTGAGCTGCCAAGCAGACCCACGGCGGCTGTGCCAGACCGGGGCCACTCACCATCACGACTGCCCGGCCCGAAAAAGACCACCGCGGAAGCGCCCACAGCGCCAGCCACCACCGACGACCTGCCCAGGACCAACTTCCACAGCTCCGTGGCTTTCATGTTCCGCAAGTTCAAGATCCTTCGGCCCACAACCCTATCCGCAGCCGGGGTGCCGTCCACGCCCGCCGTGGCTCCTGCTTCCACGCAGCCCGTGCCCACGCCCCCCTCCACGCCCGTAGGACTGCAGATCCTCACCCAGCCCTTGCCGGTGGCATGCTTCAACCTGGCCCTGCCCAGCCCACCAGCCCTCGCTGCGGCCTCTCCAGCCCCAGGGCCAGCCAGCTCCCCGGCCTCCACCCCTTCTCCAGCTGCAGGCCCAGCGCCGTCGGGCCCCGTGCCCGTCTCTTCGGGAGCCTCCGGAGTCTCCCTGGAGCAGCACTTTACCGGGCTGCACGCATCCCTGTGCGATGCCATCTCGGGCTCCGTCGCCCACTCCCCACCCGAGAAGCTCCGCGAGTGGTTTGAGTCCACGGGGCCGTGGGGCCCGGGCGGCGTGGCAGGAGTGCCAGGCCGTGCAGGGGCTGCTGGGTAAACTGCTGTCCCAGCTGCAGAGATTCATGTACACCCAGCAGTGCCCCTTCCCGCACGTCGTGCGGGCCGGTGCCATCTTCGTGCCCATCCACCTGGTGAAGGAGCGCCTCTTCCCCAGGCTGCCGCCCGCCTCCGTGGACCACGTGCTGCAGGAGCACCGCGTGGAGCTGAGACCCACGACGCTGTCGGAGGAGCGCGTGCTGCGGGAGCGCGCCCTGCACGGCTGCACCTCCCGCATGCTGAAGCTGCTGGCCCTGCGCCAGCTGCCCGACATCTACCCCGACCTGCTGGGCCTGCAGTGGCATGACTGTGTGCGGCGCCAGCTGGGTGAGCAGGAGCCCGCTCCGTAGCTGCAGGATCTGAGGGCGAGCGTGATGGGGGGTGTGCGCGCATGTGCGGGTAACCAGAACTCGAACTCAGGGCTTAGCGTTTTCTGCCCAGGGCTGGTGCTCTACCACCTGAGCCACAGCTCCACTTCTGGCTTTTTAAGGGGTCCATTGGCAATGAGTCTCACAGACTTTTCCAGCCTGGCTTTGAATCGTGATCCTGAGTGGCTGGCATTACAGGCGTGAGCCACTGGCGCCTGGTTACGTGGTGGTTTTTGAACGTCGTGGGTTCTGATGTGAAGGGTAGTTGGTTTGCTCTCTTTCTCCACTAAATGGTCAATTTGCCTGTTGTGCAGCTTGCTTTAAGATTTTTTGTTTGAGGGCTAGGAAGGTGGCTCAGTGGTAGAGCGCTTGCCTTGCATGCATGAGGCCCTGGGTTCGATTCCCCAGCACCACATAAGCAGAAAAAGCTGGAAGTGGCGCTGTGGCTCACACAGTAGAGCGCTAGCCTTGAACTGAAGAGCTGAGGGACAGCGCCCAGGCCCAGAGTTGAAGCCCCACGACCAACAACAACAAAAAAGACAAATCTTTTTTTTATTATTATTTGATTCCTCCCCATCCCCCTGGTCCTGGGGGTTGAACCCAGGGCCTTTCAAGTGCCAGGTGGAGCATTTACCACTTGAGCTTCACAAGAAGCCCTAGTCTCTCTTCCCCTCTCCCCCTCACTCCTTCCCTTCCTTCCTATCAAGGCAGGGTCCTACCTCCTTTTGGCCCCAAACTTGCAATTCTCCCTCCTCTGTCTTCTGAATGGCTGGGATTACAGGCATGTGCCACCATACACGGTTCCTTGAGGGCACATAGCTTGGTATCTCTGTGTGGTTAGGGCACTCATGCTTCTTCAGCCAGGACTTAGGGGTGGCTCTGCCTCTCCTGAGTCAGTTCTCGGCCCCCTCTGAGCCCTTTCTCCCTGCCACCCCCACCTTCCTACCACCCTTGAAGAACCTGTTGTCATCCCACCTCCTGGCCCTAGGCCTCCTCCCCTGAGGCTCCTGGTCAAGGTGGAGACCGGGCCGGAAGCAGAGTGCTGACCCACATTGTAGCATGTCCTCCAACACGAAGAGCTGGGCACCCGTGGCTCACGCCTGTAATCCTAGTACTCAGGAGGCAGAGATCTGAGGATTCACAGTTCAAAACCAACCCAGGTGGGCTGGGAAGGTGGCTTGGTGGTAGAGTGCTTAAGCACTTAGCATGCATGATGAAGCCCTGGGTTCGATTCCTCAGTACCACATACACAGATATAAACCAGAAGTAGTGCCGTGGATCAAGTGGTAGAATGCTAGCCTCGAGCAAAAGAAGCTCAGGGTCAGTGCCCAGGCCCTGAGTTCAAGCCCCAGGACTGGCCAAAACAAACAAAAACCCATGTAGGAAAATCCAAGTCAGATTATCTCCAATGAACCACCAAAAAGCCAGAAGTGGAGCTGTGGCTCAAGAGCATTTGAGCGAAATAGCACGAGTTAAAGAGGCAGTGCCAAGAACCCAGTACTGGCACACACAAAGTTAGGAAAGAGTTCTCAGTGGAGTGGAAGCAAGTATGGTATAGGATGTGTGGCCCCCTTGTTGAAGCCCAGGATACCCTTGTTCTGGCTCTGGTGGCCGGCCCTATTGAGTCTGGCTGGGAAGTGGTGGCCTGGCTGCTTGCCACAGGCTAGATTTGGGGGTTCCTGACCCCACGCCCTCCCTCAGCTGGAAGGGACCTCTAGAAAATTACTCCTACTTGGGTTTTTCGTCGTAGTTGTGGGTCTTGAACTCTGGGCTTAGGTGCTATCCCTGAGCTCTTCAGCTCAAGGCGAGCGCTCTACCACTTGAGCCACAGCGCCACTTCAGGTTTTCCGAGTGGTTTATTGGAAATAAGAGTCTCACGGACTTTTCCTGCCCGGGCTGGCTTTGAACCACAATCCTCAGATCTCAGTCTCCTGAATAGCTAGGATGACAGGCGTGAGCCGCCAGTGCCCAGCCCACTTGGGTTTCTTTTGGGTTCCTGATTTCCTCTAGTGGTTTTCCTTTCTAGAGGATCACAGTTCAAAACCAGCCAGGTAGATAAATCCACGATACTTCAGCAATAAAAAAGTTGGAGATAACCGGGCGCTGGTGGCTCACGCCTGTAATCCTAGCTACTTAGGAGGCTGAGATCTGAGGATCTTGGTTCAAAGCCAGCCCGGGCAGGAGAGACCATGAGACTCTTATCTCCAATAAAACACCAGAAAACTGGAAGTGGCGCTGTAGCTCAAGTGGTAGAGCGCTCGCCTTGAGCTGAAGAGCTGAGGGACAGCGCCCAGGCCCAGAGTTCAAGCCCCACGATCGACAAAAAAAAAAAAAAAAAGCTGGAGATGGAGCTGTGGCTGAAGGGGTAGAGCACCAAGTTTGAGCAACAAGAAAAAGTCATGTAATAGTGGGAGGCAGGGGCGGGGAGCCCTGCTGGTACCTGCGTACCCCGGTGCCGAGCGCTGTCCAGGGTAGTTTTGGAGGCTGGGAAGGTTGGGGGGAGGGAGGGGCCTGAGGACACGGAGCCCGCAGTCTGACCATGTCCCTTCTCCAGGTGACCTGGACATGGAGGCTCAGGCCACATCGCCCTCACAGCCCACTCTGGCTAGAGAAGACAGAGACAGCCTTCCCCTGGCTCAGAAGTCACCAGCCCCCAAGGTCAGGAAGCTGGGGAGGAAGCCACCCACCCCTGGCCCAGAGAGAGAAGCCACCTCTGGTGGGGGCGGGTCACGTGGTCCCTCACCAAGCCCAGCCACCAACGCCAGCCCGCCCGGCCCTACGCTGCGAGCCCGCTTCCGAAGCCTTCTGGAAACCGCCTGGCTCAATGGCGCAGCTTTGCCCACTTGGAGCCACAAGGCCCCGGGACCAGCCCGGCCCCCTCGGCAGCCCCACCTGCTGGGCAGTGCCAGCCAGCACCTGTAGCCCCCTGGGGCCAGGAGGGTGCCATCTTGTGTCCTACCCAGTTGCCTAGAGCCAGAAAATGGATGCTGGGGGGGCTGGGACCCACCAGGCTGGGCCTAGAACCTCTGACCTTGGAGTATGAGAAAGGACTCTTTCTTCTTCCCTAGAGAAAACCCGTGGGTGCTGGAACTCCCCAGACCTGGCCTTGAATCGTGGCTGCTGCGTTCCTGGCGGCGTGGCGTGGGCAGAGGCCTCTGCTTCTCTCTTGACTGCTCGTTCCCCGTTTGTAAAAATCAGGACAACAGCCTACCTCACCGGGGTGTTCTCGGGGTGATGGCCTGACTCATGCCCATGGTGACTGGGACTCGACGTTTCTCCCCCCTGGGGTCAGGCCCTCACCATCAGCCAAGAGCCTGGATTGGGAAGCCGGGGCCTGGACTGAGGCTGGATCAGCAGGCTCTTCTTGCTGAAAGTCTCCGTGTGTCTTAGGATTTGGTTGTCCCTGAGCAGTACATTGCCAGTGTCTGTCTGTCTGTCCTGTCCGTGCTGTGGTCCTTGATCTGGGCTGGTAACGGGTCCCAGGCCTCGCCTGAATTTACGTCATCCAGCCATCACCCCCCCCCCCCCCCCCAGGAAAGTGATGTTTTTCTGGAAGCCAACTAGCCCCAAGGAACTCGGGGACCAGTGCCCACGTGGTGGGGTGGGGGTGGGGGGAGGATTGGCTCTGTCCTTGGAGGTCTCTGAGCTTTGGCGGGGACTCTGGTGCTCTCCAGGCTGAGAGCTGGGGTCCTTGGCTTTATTTAAGGGGTCTAGGAGCCTGTGCGGTCCTGGGGGCGGGCAATTAAAACATTTGTGTTGTTTTGGAGCTGGGACTATGAGCCCATCTTTAATCATCCCAGGCTTCACCCTCCCCTCCCTGCTCCCAGCCTTGAAGTCACAAAGAACCTGTAGCACTGAATATAGCTATGTATATGTATATGTGTGTGCACATATATATGCATATACATGTATATGTATATATATATATATATATATATACGTTGTTGCTGCTGCAGTCGGGCATCTGTGGCTCAGGCCTGTATCCTAGCTCCTCAGGAGGCTGAGATTCATAGGATGGCAGTTCAAGGCCAGCCTAGGTAGAGTGTTCGCTAGATTCCATCTCCAAAACAACCGCCAAAAAAGAGCTGAACAGACATGACTTCCCCAAGTTCAAGTCTCAGCGCCAGGCACCCAAAACAAAACACAACCTATTGCTAAGAGCTGAGAGACTAAGGGGACAGAGGCTGCTACACCCCCAGAAACTAGGGCCCACTTAACTGTGACCCTCTAGCTCCACCCCCCCCCCCCCCCCAGTTTCTCTGCTGTCCATTGGAGTTCCTAGGCCAGGTCTAGCCAGGTAGGGCTTCTCAAAAAGAGGCCCCTGAAAAGGCCTCCCATTTCTCTTATTACAAGTGCTTTAAAAGAAACCGGGGACCAGTAACTCACTCCTGTAATCCTATTTAACTAAGGAGGCTGAGATCTGAGGATTGAGGTTCAAAGCCAGCCTGGGAAGAAAAGTCTTGAAACTTATTTCCAATTAATCACCAAAGATGAAAGTTGGAAGTGGAAGTGTGGCTCAAGCGGTAGAGTGCCAACCTTAAACCAAACAGTAAGAGACAGTGCCCAAGCCCTGAATTCAAACCTCAGTACTGGTGCACACACAAACACACACATATCCTAGAAACTAGGCCTTGTGGTTCATACTTGTAAACCCAGCATGGATCAAGAATTTAAGGCCAGCACCGACTGACTCAAAACCAAAGTCAGGAACCTGGGTTTTAGTCAAACTGCCGAGCTGACCGTTCTAGGCTGTGTTCTCAGTAACAACACTGACATGCCTTCCCTTTACAGAGGGGGAAACTGAGATCTGGGAACTTACTGAGGGATTGGTCTAGGTTGGGCTATGTCAGAAACCCTGGGTTAGGGCTGGGAATGTGGCTTAGTGACAGAGTGCTTGCCTAGCATGCACGAAGTCCTGGGTTCGATTCCTCAATAGCACACAGAAAAAAAACGGAAGTGGCACTGTGGCTCAAGTGATCGAGTGCTAGCCTTGAGCGAAAGAAGCTCAGGTATAGGCCCAGGCTCTGAGTTCAAGCCCCGGAACCAGTTTAAAAAAACCAAGTAGGTCAGAGCTGGGTGTGGTAGTTCATGCCTATCATCCTAGCTCCTCAGGAGGCTGAGATCTGAAGACCAGTGTTCAGAGCCAGCCTGGGCCGGAAAGTCCATGAGATGAGCTCACTCCATTGAACCCCAAGAAACCTGAAGTGGAACTGTGTGTGTGTTGGAGCACTAGACTTGAGAGTAGAAGCCAAGGGTCAGCATCTAGGCCCTGAGTTCATGTCCAGTACTGTCATACAGGGACACAGGTCTCCCTTTGGCAGCCTCTGGAGGCCTGGTCTGGTTCACTCTGGGTCACAATGAGCAGGATCCAGGCCTGGTCCTGGGCTCCCCCACTGGAGATGGAAGAATGGCTTTAGTCTCAGCCTGATCTGCCGTCCCACTGGGGGTGTTGGCTGGCAGGTGACCAGTCCCTCCTCGTGGGTCATCCCCCAGTATAGTCCTTCCGTGTCCCCTCTGCTTCCAGCTCTTGCCACTAACCCCTGGCTGGACAGGCCTCCCACGCAGAGCTGAGACCCCCATGCTAATACTCAGCCGCCTCCAGCGTCTCGCTGTCCTAGAGAGGAGCTGAGGCTCCTGGCGTGGGGTGCAGGGCCCAAGGAGGCCTGACGGTGGCTGCAGCCCTGGAGATCAAGTAAGGGCTCTACAGAGCCTGTCTCAGATTGAAGGGATGAGAGCATACAGGGCCAATGTGCTGCCAGGTCCTCCCCTACCTAGCTCAGAGCCTGGGACTCGGGGCTTGGCTGCTTCTCCCTGAACCTTACAAACCCCCCTGGGCCCCCAAGCACCAGCTGCTGGAGTCCGGGATGTCCTTAACCAGGGTGGCTCCCGGCTGTGGGTATAGGCCGGGGACCCCAGAGGCTTCTCCCCACACCTGGGGCCCTGCCGGCCTTCCCATAAACCTGTGCACGTCCCCTGGGTGGGAAGGCTGGAGTGGCACCATGCGGCCTTTCCTGACCCAACACACCAGAACTCCAGCTTCCTGAAGATCAGGTTTGCTTGTGTGAAGCCAGTCCTGGGGCTGGAACCCACCAGGGCCTGGGTGCTGTCCCTGAACAAAAAATTCTCATGCTTGAGGCTGGCACTCTACCACTTGAGCCACAGTTCCCACTTCTGGCTTTTTTTGTGGTTGGTAAAAGATGGAAAGCCAGGTACTGGTGGCTCATGCCTATAATTCTAGCTACCTATGACTGAGATCTGAGGATCACTGTTCAAGGCCAGCCTGGGCAGGAAAGTCCATGAGACTCTTCTCTCCAGTGAACCACCAGAAAACCAGAAGTGGCACTGTGGCTCAAAGTGGCAGAGTGCTAGCCTTGAGCAAAAGAGCTCAGGGACAGTGCCCAGCCCCTGAGTTCAAGCCCCATCACTGACCAAAAAAAAGTCTCACAGACTTACCTGTCCTGGCTGGCTTTGAAATAAGATCCTCAAATCTCAGCCTCTCGAGTAGCCAGGATGACAAGGTGTGAGTCTCAGCCTAGAAGCGTCTGACCCGAACAAACTCCTCCCTCTCGTGTCACTGTGGTCAGGTCTGTACAGGAATGGCCACCCGGCCTCTGGCCACTTGCTCGTGGGTCTCCCCACTTGCTCATGGGTCTCCCCAAAGTGCAGGTCCCTTCCTGCAAGGGGCAATGGGCAGCAGCTGGGCCTGGCTGGCCCGGAAGCTGGGCCCGAGTCCTCTCCTGCCCTGGGCTGGCTCCAGGCACCGCTGAGAGGTTCTGGGCCTGGACCTTGAGCGTGGATGGAAAGGCCAGAGGCTACGCAAAACCCCAGGATCAGAACCCCACGTGAACACAGAAACCATAGCAACTATTTCCCCTCTGACTTTTATGTCCCATGGAGGTGAGGTGAAGTGGGTAGAGTCAAGTCTGAGGAAGGCAGGCCACTGCTGGTTCAGTCTTAGGCTAGGGCCTTGCCCTGTCTGTGCTGGATGCCTGGGGAAGGCAAAGGTCCTGGGCTCCGGCTGGAGTCCTCCAGTTCAAGGGAGAAGCCCCAGGCAGGAGGAGTCGGGGTGGGGGGGGGGGGGTGGGGAGTGGGATTCAAGGGAGGGAGAAGCCGCTCCAGGGACACCTGGGGAGAGGAGAGGAAATACTGAACCCCCCAAACACGCACATACACACAGTGCCACCTGCCCACTCCTACCTGGGGGGAGAGGGGGAAGGGCAGGCAGGAGACAAAAAGGGAAACTGTAGATGGAGCCTGGCAGCTTTCCCCCCCAAATAACACCTCCTCTGGCACCCTGCGCCCCTGCCTGCCTGGGGCAAGCCCATACCTTGCAATGCAGGGCAGCGCCTGGGCGAGGCCTTGGTTCCCCCAGGCTGGACACTCAGGTTGAGGCCCCGCTACTTCAGCACCTGGGATGAGACAGCGCAGCATCACACACCCCTACCCAAAAGCCTCCTCACCATTCTGGTAGATTCCATTTGGATGCCCCCCCCCCCCCCCCGGAGTCCCTTCTGCCTAGCTGGATGCCTACCAAGGTGATGGTGACAATGGCATGCAGGACACAGAGCCGGGGGCTGGGGGCTCCAGGTCCAGGCCGACTGGAGGCTGCGGAGCGGGGGGCGCCTGGAGCAGAGAGCAGAGAGGAGCGGGTGGTCAGGGTAAGTAAGCCTCCATCTTTGCGGTCCTGGGGTCTGGGAGGGGGAGGGGGGAGGGCAGAAGGGAGGGAAGGCCGCCAGCTGGGGGGGGGCACTGACCGCAGTCTGGGCCGGTCACCTCCACCCAGAGGCCCTCCGCTTCCGGTGCACATCTCAGGGCCCTGCGCACGGATTCCTGGATGAGGCCCCGGGGTGGGGCCGCCTGGAAGAAGATGGCCTCCACTTTGGCAGTCGGTGGTTCTGGCCTGGAAAGGAGTTCCGCGGCTGGCTAATGGGAGCTGGCGTCTGGCTCTCCACCACCCATCCCCAGAACCAAAACCCAACCCAAACCAGCCCACCAGAACTCCTGCACCACGACTTGAGCAAAGTTCCACAGAGTCCTGAGGCCTGGGGTCATCTGGGGTCAGGAGAAGAGGGCAAAGGTCAGGGCTCTCTGCCCACCACAGGCTCAACCAGCTCCACCCCTGCACCCCCCCTCTCTCCCATCCCCCCCTCCCCCCCTCCCGCGCTCCCCCCCCCCCTCCCCCCGGCCGCCGTGTCACCCATCCGGTCAGCTGCTGCTGAAGCTTCTGGAATTCGGGGCTGGTTTTGTTCTGCAAGGCTTTGGTGAAGGGCCAGCCCCCTATCAGGAGCCACAGCTCATACACCTCCAGCTCGGCCTTCTCCTCTAGAACCATAGGAATGGGGGTACAGCATGCAGAACCCCATCACCCAGGAACCTGGCCCAGAGCACACGTCCCAGGCCCTGCTGTTCCCAGAGAGTGGCATTTATTTTAGTGTTGGTACTAGGGCTTGAACTCAGAGCCTGGGTGCTGTCCCTGAGCTTTTTCACTCCAGGTTAATGCTCTACCACTTGAGTCACAGCCCCACTTCAGGATTTGTGCCGTGGTTAACTGAAGATAAGAGTCTCACGAGTTTTCCTGCCCAAGGGGGCTTTGAACCGCGATCCTCAGATCTCAGCCTCCTGAGTAGGATGACAAGCGTGAGCCTCCAGGGCGGGCTCAAGGGTGCCATGTTTCACATCGAAGTCTGGAGATTCTCCAAGCACACACATGAAATCCACAGCCCGGGGCCAGTGACTCACGCCTGTGATCCCAGCTACTCAGGAGGCTGAGATCTGAGGATCCATTGTGGTTCGAAGCCAGCCTGGGCAGGAAAGTCTGTGAGACTCATCTCCAGTGAACCACCAAAAAAGCTGTGACTCAAAAGTGGTAGAGCACCAGACTGGAGGGGAAAAAAAACAGGCTCAAGGATAGAATTCATACTCTCAGTACAAGTCCCAGTAATGGCACACACACACATGCACACACACGCACACATGCAATTCTACTCATTTTCTAGAGGGGACTGTAAATTCTAGAAGAAGTAGGCTGCCAGTCCAGACTGGACTCCCTGCCAGACTTACCGTTGGCTTCTAGGCTGGATTTCAGGAGGGCGGGATCTGTGCTGCTGCGGGCCAGGTGATTGGCCAGGCCTCGGAGGTGGGTGGGGACAGGGCTGTGGAATTTGTATTCCATGTCCACGCTCACCCATTGGTGGAGGTCGCTAGAGAAGGGCGGGGTCACAGGTTAGCAGGTGCTACTACAGAAGCAAGCTTTGAGCCCTAGGTATGGGGGGGGGGGCCTCCCCACGTCCTGGGGCAGAGATCCAGATGGCTCAAAGTCCTCTCCAAGTGACCCCAAACCTCTGCCTCCCCATCCTGGCTTGCCCCCCTAGCTGTGCAGGCTGGGGATGGGGGCGACGCTCTACCCACCTGAAGAGGAGCAGGGGCCCTTTTTGAGGGTGCTTCTTGTAGAATCCGGACACCAGCGGTGTGAGCTGTGGGGAGTCAGGGAGGTCGGAACTCAGAGGAACCCTGGGGCAGGGGAGCCTGGCTAGGCCAACCCCACCCCACCCCAGGCATCGCTCTGAGGCCTCTCCAGTCTCCCTCACGCCCCCCCTTTCCCCTCCCTTCATGGTGCCAACCTGTGGCACCTCCACAGGCAAAAACCCAAGAGGGCAGCTGGGTACTGGTGGTTCACACCTGTCATCCCAGCTACTCAGGAGACTGAGATCTGAGGATCACAGTTCAAAGCCCCACAACCGACGCAAAAACCAGAAGTGGCGCTGCGGTTCAAGTGGCGAAGCACCAGCCTTGAGCAAAAGAGCTCAGGGACAGGGCCCAGGTCCTGAGTTCAAGTCCCAGGCTTGGCACAAAATAAAATAAAAATAGTCCAGAGGCCTGTTGTGAAGAGAATCAGGCAAAGGTCCCAGGCCCCTTCCAGAAGGAGGGCTGTGTAAGGGAGCAAGGAGATCTCACCCACTGGAGAATCTGCTTCTCTAGCAGGACGAAGGGCTTAGAACCAGGCGAGAGGAGCTGGGGCAGGAAGGGCCTCAGGACTGTGAAGTGGATGCTGATGGTCTCCAGAGCCAGGTCGGTCAGGTTGGACCCTGCAGTCACAGGTGAGAGTCAGGAGGCCCCAGAGTCCCCATGGTCCCTGTATTGGCTGGGGGGAGGCAGACACTTGAGGGCTCACCATCAGAGGCCAGGCTGTCCTCAGCCAGAGACACACTTCCCAGTATCCACCTGGACATCTTGACCCAGCGGTACATAGTCCAGAGGACTTGGTGCGCCGAGGGCCCGGATGAGCCCCCAAACACCAAGGTGGCGTTTACATCTTCAGAGCCAGGCCTGGGGACAGAGGCGTGTGCTCACAGAAGGCCCGGGCAGGGGAGGGGCCTGGCTAGGGCATAAGTCCCCCTCTTTTTTTTTTTTTTGAAAGGGGGAAGTAGAGGCATGAACTCGAGGCCTGGGCGCTGTCCCTGAGCTCCTCAGCTCAAGGCGAGCGCCGTACCATTTGAGCCACAGCACCACTTCTGGTTTCCTGGTGGTTCATTGGAGATAAGAGTCTCATGGATGTTCCTAACTGGGGCTGACTTTGAACCACCATCCTTAGATCTCAGCCTCCTGGGTAGCTAGGATTACGGGTGTGAGCCACGGGCACCAGGCCTGTCCCTGAGTTTTTGTGCTTCAAGGCTGGTGCTCTACCACTTGAGTCATTATGCCCAGTCTTTTTTTTTTGGGGGGGGGGGTCCGGTCGTGGGGCCTGAACTCTAGGTCTGGGTGCTGTCCCTCAGCTCTTCAGCTCAAGGCTAGCACTCTCCCACTTGAGCCACAGCGCCACTTCCGGCTTTTTTCTTTTTGTTTATGTGGTGCTGAAGAATCGAACCCAGGGCCTCATGCTTGCAAGGCAAGCGCTCTACCACTGAGCCACCTTCCCAGCCCAGGCCCAGTCTTTAACTCAGGGCTGTACTCTCCCTTGGCTAGTTTGCTACCACTTGAGCTATGCCTCCAGCCCAGCTTTTGGCTGGTTAATTGGAGTGGGCACTCAAGGACTGTTCTGCATGGGCTAGCTTTTTTTTTTAGTCGGTAGTAGGGCTTGAACTCGGCCTGGGCGCTGTCCCTCAGCTCTTCAGCTCAAGGCGAGCACTCTACCACTTGAGCCACAGCGCCACTTCCAGTTTTCTGAGTGGTTTATTGGAGATAAGAGTCTCACAGACTTTTCTTGCACAGGCTGGCTTTGAACCTCAATCCTCAGATCTCAGCCTCCTGAGTAGCTAGGCTTACAGGCGTGAGCCACCAGGGCCAGGCTGCGTGGGCTAGCTTTGAACAGTGATCCTCTAAATGTCAGCCTCCTGAGTAGCTAGGATTATGAGCAAGAGCCACCAGCACAAGGCCAGCCAGATGCTCTTGCCACCCCTGCCCTCCCACTGCTGCTCAGACATGCCTGGCAGCACCATACCAATCCAGCAGCTGAAATCAGCTCGGATCAAGAGGAAGGTCATTTGAGGTCACACAGCCATTGCTGGGACCAGATGTGAGCCTCTACCCTCTCCCTCCTCCCCGTCCAGCCCTTCCTGGCCCTGGCAGAGAGAGCAAGCAGGCAGGGGCTGGCAGCCTGGGGACCCCAAAACACAGGCACTCACCCGAACACCAGGACACCAACACCCTCGAAATTGGGAAAGTCCAAGTGATAGATAGACTGGATCTGAGGACAGATAGGCAGACAGACAGGCAGACAGAAGGCATGGAGCTGGCCCTCCCTACCCTCCACATCTCTGTCCTCTGCCATCAGCCTGGCTTGAACAATGCAGTGGCCAGACTCTGCCCAAGCTACTTTCCTTATTTTTTCCTTCTATTTTTCTGGCCAGTCCTGGGGCTTGAACTCAGGGCCCGGGCACTGTCCCTAAGCTGCTTTTGCTCAAGGCTAGCACTCGACCACTTGAGCCACCGCACCACTTCTGGCTTTTTTCTGTGTATGTGGTACTGAGGAATCGAACCCAGGGCTTCATGCATGCTAGGCAAGCACTCTACCAGTAAGCCACCTTCCCAGCCCTTTTTTTTTGGGGGTACTGGTCCTGGGGCTTGAACTCAGGGCCTGGATGCTACCCCTGAGCTTTTTCATTCAAGGCTAGTGTTCTACCACTTGAGCCACAGCTCTACTTCTAGCCTTTTTGCTGGTTCATTGGAGATAAGAGTCCCAGAGACTTTCCTGCTGGCAGGCAAGCTTTCAGTCTTGAGCCTCAGATCTCAGCCCCCTGTGTGGCTAAGATGACAGCCATGATCCACGGGCACTGGCCCAAGCTACTTTCTATACAAGCAGCCTCAGATCTGAGGTCAACTTAGCTAACATCAGAGGCAGTGCCAAGTCTTGGAGCTGTAAATGCCTGATTTTCCCACTTTGCTTTTCCTCTCTGCTGCAAATCACTTTTCAATGCCGTCATGCTTGGCTCTGGCTCCCAACAGCTGCCACCTGGGCCTCTCCTCACCTCCCCCCTCCTCCCCCTTCCCCCCTTCCCCCCACCCCAGTTCCTCAGTGCCTCTGACCATCTCAGGCACACAGTTCTGCCTGCTCACAAAGTCTCTTTCGTGTGTGTGTGTGTGTGTGTGTGTGTGTGCGCGCGTGTGTGATCAATTGTGGACCTTGAACTCAGGGCCTGGGCACTGTCCCTGAGCTCTTTTGCTCAAAAGGATATTGCTCTACTATTTTGAGCCACAGCCCCACTTCCCATTTTCTGGTGGTTCATTGGAGGTAAGAGTCCCATGGACTTCCCTGCCCGGGCTGGCTTTGAACTGCAGTCCTCAGATCTCAGCCTCCTGAGTAGTCGGGATGACAGGCGTGAACCTCCAGTGCCTGGCCCTCTCCCTGTTTCATCTGGCTATCTTCTCTCTACGACAGCTAATATTTCACACTTGTAATCCCAGCACAGGGGAGACTGAGGAGGGAGGATCTTGAGTTCAAGGCCAGCCTGGGCTATATTGGGAGCCCTGTCTCAATGAAAGGAGGCTGGGTGGGGGGGCAGCTCAGAGATGGAACTTTTACTCTATTATCGTCTATCTGGATTGGCCTGGTTTCTGATTCAGTCTCCCCAGGAGATTCCCTAAGCCAGGAATTCTGCTTGGTTTTGCTCTCTGTCTCTTCTGCCTTGGCACAATGCCTGGTCCAGAAGGCACTCAGTGAATTCTAAGAAACAGGTTAAAGAGCGGAAGGAATGGACCAATTGCCATGGACAGAGACTCAGAGCGCCCCCTGGAGGACAGGTGAAAATATACATGTCCTAGTCCTGCAGCTGTGGTTCACGCCTGTGATCCTGGTTAGGCCCTTCCTGGCCAGAGTGCTTCCTCCCCCATCTCTATAGTTCCTGAATGAACAGTGACTCATTTCCCCAGGAGTAAGATAAGAGTGAGATAAGAGGCCCATGGACTTTCCTCCTCAGGCTGGATTTGAACTGGGATCCTCAGATCCCAGCCTCCTGAGTAGCTGGGATGACAGGCAGGCTCCTGACTAGTTTTCTACTTTCTCCCCATTCTGTGGGGTCCTCCCAGGAGCACAGGACAGTATTCATTCATTCATTCATTCATTCATTCACCCTCAGCTCCGGGCCTCGCTGCCCTGAGGGAGCCCAGGGCACAGGAGGGGCTCTGTGATCCCCCCGTGGGGGATCAGGTGCCCCTACCTGGTGGAGGAGGTCCCCACGCAGCTGCTGTCGTGACACAGATGCGGCGCTTCCCAGAGCATCAGACGAGGCTCCACCGGTGACCCGGAAAGTCACGGAGCGGGTCACGGGACCCACTCTTGGCATGGAGGAGGCTGAGTCCTGGAAAGGGGTGATCTGGCCAGGATGAGAGGAGGGGGTGGGCTGGGTAGGGTAGATGCTCACAAGGGTCCTCGGGGAGCCAGGGCTCCAGGGGGCCCCCGGAAGGCTGGAGGGGGGTTGGTGGGAGAGGGTAGCAGTTGGGGATGGGCTGGCAGGGACCCCCAGCCCTGGCTGGACTGTCCTCTGAGGGGCAGCCGGCTGGTGGTGCCCTGAGACCAACAGGAGTGGCCTGGTTGGAGCAAGGCTGGAGGCACTGGGAGGGGAGGCTGTGGTTGAGAGGCCCAAGGCAGATGCAGACAGGCCTGGGGGGGCCCTGGCAGAAGAGATTGGGGCTGGGACTGGAGATGGTGACACTGGTGCTGGGGAAAGTGGCAGAGATGGAGCCAGCGGGGAGGAGGAGGTTGGAGATGGTTGTGGAGCTGACATGGCTGAGGGCAGTGGCCCCACAGAGGCCGCCAGGGGCCCCAGACCCCGGCTGGCCACTGCCCTGTCCCCGGCCACGCTTGTGATGGCCGGAGAGGCCCTGTCCAGCCCTGAAGTCCCAGGAGCTGCAGGGGGCAGGGGCTGGGTGACGGCGGTCCTGTTAGAACCAGATGGCCACACAAGTTGACATGGGGGCACTAAAGCCTTCCCAGGGTCCCCTGGCGCTCCCAGCAGGGGTGTAGGGGACTCAGGCCAGGAGCGGCCAGTGATCCATGCTGCGGGCACCTGAGCACTGGCATTAGGACTATGCCTGCCCCAGGCCTGCTTTGGCCATCCTGTGGGTCCAGACATGAATGAAGGGGAGGGGGAGGAGAAAGGGGGTCCTGCGGGCTGCCTCAGTGGTGTGGGAGTTACAGGTACAGACATCACCTGGGATCCTGGCACCATTGGGACCCGGGGCTGGGGCTCTGGGGTCCTGTAGGCTGCAGCCTTGGTCACTGTTGAGCGGGTCGGGACAGGGGTGGCTTTGACAGAGACCTCAGGACTTCCCCCAGGAGTGGGCCGTGGGAGGGGATCCCAGGACACGGCTTCGAGGACCTGCCGGCCCCCAGATGTCCCTGGGTAAGGGAATCTGAGGAACTTGGGTAGCTGGTGAGGCGTCTTGCCGCCAGCTTGCAGGTCTGCTGGGCCAGAGGCCGAAGGAGACTCATCAGGGTCTTCGTGAGCAAAAGGCAGGGGGAGGACCGGAACTGACACCACCAAGAACACTGCAAACCAGGCCAGGCCTTGTCTAGCAGCACCAGTGTGTATGATCGGCCCCACTCTCTCCCCCAACCCCCGTCATATTAAGGGGCCTAGGGAGCCTAAGACCCAGCTCAGCCTCAAGAGCTCACTGGGGCCAGGTGCTGGTGGTCCATGTCTGTCACCCTAGCTACTCAGGAGGCTGAGATCTGAGGGTCTTGCTTTAGCCCTGGCAGAAAAGACCTTGAGACTTTTGTTGTTGTTGGGAGAGGCAAGAAGGGGGGGTCTTGAACTCAGGGCCTGGGTGCTGTCCACAGCTCCACTTCTGGTTTTCTGATGGTTCACTGGAGATGAGAGTCTCACAGACTTTCCTGCCCTGGCTGGCTTTGGACCTCAGTTCTTAGATCTCAGCCTCTTGAGTAGCTAGGATGATAGGTGTGACCCACCAGCATCCAACTGGACTATTATCTCAAGCC